ATTAGATGATGAGGCATTTGACTACATTAAGAGAGTCACCTGCGCTTCATTGAATTTCTTCACTTTGACATCCATTGTGTCCTTCCTCCAGCCTTGAGCAGGCCTGAGAGACCTTGTTTACCACAATAGACCAAACAATAGGACTCCGGAGGCATTGCCTGCCTTGGCACCTCCTTGGCTGTCTGTAGCCTGGTACACAAGCTGAGAAGAATAGACTGCCTGCTGAGCTTGCCTTGACATCTCAGGCCCGCAATTAAGTATGGATTCCTCTCACCTCCAGCAGGATGGTTTCTGCTCACCCCCAGCCGGCTGAAGCAAGAAGGAACTCTGGGGGTGAGAGTGGGTTATCCTCTTTAAATTAGAAGCTGAACATTAAAGCATTGAGCCTCGATCAGAAACCTTTGTCCTGGCTTCATCTCTTCCCACCCTCCTGTCCCTTCTTCCATTCCCAGCCTCTCTTTCAGGTGAACCCAGTCGACTGTGGCCGATGGCCCCCAACAATCCATAGCACTGAGCAGTAGTCACATTGTGTCAATACCTGCCACAGGCCTGTGTGATACTTTGTTTTAATTAAACAGTCAGATTCTTCTGGTCCATACCAGTTTTAAGTTGGCTGCCAGTCACTGGCCAAAACAAGGTGCCCTGCAGAAAAAATATGGCAGGAAGAAGAGGGCAGACCCAACGGGAAGACTGTCTCAGACCCTGGCCTACCCCCTCACTAACTCCTAGGATGGCAAAGCGGGGAGGAAGGGGGATGGGTTAGTGGGATCCTCTCCTGCCTGAGCCTGGATTCCCCTTGTGCCATGCAGCCCTTCACAATAAAAGAGAAATCTCTGGGGTCCTCACGCCAACTTATGCAGGATCAGTCATTTTGCAGCACTGAACATCTCACAACGCCCATCTCCACCACTCTGGGTTCAGGGATCTGAATGACTTCGATTCTGTTGCCCTGTCAATGGCCTGATGGCAACAGAGGCCATTGCCTGTTCCTTTGGAACAGTTCTCACACCTCTCTCAGGACTGACTGACTGTTCACCTGTTGCTCACATGGAGCCCTTCTCCACTTCAGCTTTCAAATTTCTCCTGTGAATATTTGCCTCTACCACCAAGATATGCACCATCATTGGCTCCACTCAGACCTGCATCCTATACTTCAAGGCTCACCACACCCAGCAGCTCATCACAGCATTGTGTTCACAGGGAGGGCAGCAAAGCTCAGACCTTGGCAGAGGTGTCCTATTCCTACTACAGATAACTGCTGGGTATGCCTCTGACACTCCAGCGCCATCCATTTTCAGGGCTAGCTGATTTGGCGGGTGAGTTGTTACACACTCCTTAGCGGATTCTGACTTTCGTGGCCACTGTCCTGCTGTCTATATCAACCAACCCTTTTTCTGTGTCTGATGAGTGTCAGCATCAGGAACCTTTACCTGGCAATTGATTCATCACATAGTGCCAGTTCTGCTTTCCAAAAGAGGCCCAGTAATAACTCACGTTCTACTCCCAACTCATTGCCACTTTGCTGGGCTTCTTACCCATTTAAAGTTTGAGAATAGGTTGAGATCGTTTCGGCCCCAAGACCTCTAATCATTCGCTTTACCGGATAAAACTGCGGGCATTGACAACGTCTGTGAGAGCACCAGCTATCCTGAGGGAAACTTTGGAGGGAACCAGCTACTAGATGGTTCAATTAGTCTTTCGCCCTATACCCAGGTTGGACAACTGATTTGCACGTCAGGACCTCTACGGACCTCCACCAGAGTTTCCTCTGGCTTCGCCCTGCCCAGGCATAGTTCACCATCTTTCGGGTCCTAACATGTACGCTTGTGCTCCACCTCCCTGGCGAGACAGGCTGGTGGTGCGCCCTCAGCGGACTGGAGAGGCCTTGAGATCCCACCTCGCCCGGGACAGAGTCTTTCACCTTCATTGCGCCACCGCGGCTTTCGGACGAGCACCTGACTCACACACTTGCTAGACTCCTTGGTCGGTGTTTCAAGACGGATCGGGTGGGTAGCCGGGCCGCAGACCCCATGCGGTCAGCTTCACCCCGGCCAGGGCGCGGGATGTGCGCCCCCCCCCCCGCGCGATGACGCCCAAGGAGCACTGGGGACAGTCAGCCCGACTCCCCGGGACCCCTCCCCTGAGAGAGACGGAGGCGACCGGGAGTGGGAGAGCAGTCGCGCCATGGGAAGGGCTGTCCGCCCCCCCTGCCACGGGGATGGGGGGGAGAGCACAGCAACGGGTATCGTGCTTCCTTAGCCCGGGATTCGGCGAGCACTGCTGCGGGGCGGGGTGGGGTGTGAGGCTGTAACACTCAGGGCGGGGTGGTTCAGCGCCTACATGTGGGACGCCGCCCCCCCAGCCACCTTCCCCACTGGGCCTTCCCAGCCGCCCTGGAGCTGGTCTCCACGCACTGCCACACCCCGTGCCCACCACCCCCCCACACCCCCCAGGGAGGGCAGGGACGGCAGTGGCGGGACGCGGGGAGGGGGGAAACAATGCGCGAGTGGAAGGGTCGGGAGGAACGGGGAGCAGGAAAGATCCGCCGGGACGGCCGGACGCGCGCCCCCGGGTTGCATCCTCCGGGCGGACTGCGCGGACCCCTCTCCGCCCCCAACCCACCTCCACCCGGGGGAAGCTCGCGTGGAACACCGCGGCGTCCAGCGGGCCGGCGCCGGAGCGGGCACCCCCAGGCGAGGAAGGCGAGGAGGAAGGGAGCCGCGAGACCGGCCCGAGACTGGCCCTCACGGCCTCCTACGGCGCGAAGGCGCTCACGGGGAAGGAGGCGGGAGGGGAGGGAGAGGCCGGACACCGAACGAGCTGCTGCGAGGCGGAGAAGCCCAGGTCGGCAGGCCCGGACCTCCGAAAGGCCCCCAGAAGGCCTAGAGCGACTGTGGCACCGTCCTTCACTACCAAGCCGTGCGCGCACGGGCGCCCGCAACCCCGACTCCCCACACACACCTCACCACCAACGCCTCCCTGTGCTCTCTCGTTCTCCACACGCGCTGGTGGCGGACCCTCAGCCACCGCGCCCCTGACGCGCCCTGGGGACGGGCGACGGTGGGAACGGCGGAGCGGGAAGGAGCCGCGGAGGCCGGCCCGGGGGAGACGACACTCGTGTGTCAAGGGGGGGCGGCACCGCCCACGTCTGGACTTCGGGAGACAGAGGGCCAGGGAGGGGCCCTGCGAGCAGACTCCCAGCTGCGCCGCACCCACAGATGGGCGAGCGATCAAACGACGCTCAGACAGGCGTAGCCCCGGGAGGAACTGGGGCCACAAGTGCATTTGAAGTGTGGATGATCAATGTGTCCTGCAGTTCACATGAAGTCATTAAGTCACATTAATGCAGTTAGCTGCATTCTTCATTGACGCACGAGTCGTATCGGTATTTCGGGTGTGAGCGGACTCACGTGCTGATGGACGGCACCACACACCCCCACACACACCGCCCTCCTCCACGGAGAGAGAGGACGCATCTCCCGGTCAGCAAGAAACAGACACGTGGGGGGAAAAAAAAAACAAGGGTCGGGAGCGGGAAAGACAAGGCACGGGAACGACACGGGATCCCCGACACCCGGCGCCAGCAGGGCTCGCAGGAGGTGGGTGAGCCGGCGCACGGGGCGGGACCCCACGGGCGCCCAGAGGTCGCTCTCAACACCGACACCCCCAACCGCAGCCTCTGGAGACAACGGCAGCGGGAGAGGGGGTCGTAGAGTCTGAGGGGAGCCGGGTGAGGAGGACCCGGGAGCCACTGGTGGCGTGGGCTGAGGATCACTGAGGGAGGGGAGATATCCGGAGGCGGTCCCCAGGCGGACTGGCCCGTACCCCCTCCTTCCCCGCTCTCCATCCAGAACGACCCCACAAGCGTGCAGTCCACATGCGTGAACGCATGCACACAGCGCCACAGGACCCGGGACGTGCCTCCCGGCGTGAAGAGAAGACATGCAAGACAGCGAGAGATCGAGTAAGCGAGGTCAGGCCGCCGTCACCCTCCTCCGCGTTCTCCGTTAGTGATCCTTGTTACTTTTACTTCTAGATAACCCTAACCGTAACCCCGGCGGGGCTGATCCGAGGGCCTCACTAAACCATCCAATCGGTCGTAGCGAAGGGCGGTGTGTACAAAGGGCAGGGGCTTAATCAACGCAAGCTTATGACCCGCACTCACTGGGAATTCCTCGTTCATGGGGAATAATTGCAATCCCCGATCCCCATCACGAATGGGGTTCAACGGGTTACCCGCGCCTGCCGGCGTAGGGTAAGCACACGCTGGGCCAGTCAGTGTAGCGCTCGTGCAGCCCCGGACATCTAAGGGCATCACAGACCTGTTATTGCTCAATCTTGGGTGGCTGAACGCCGCTTGTCCCTCTAAGAAGTTGGGGGACGCAGACCGCTCGGGGTCGCGTAGTCAGCATGCCAGAGTCTCGCTATCGGAATTAACCAGACAAATCGCTCCACCAACTAAGAACGGCCACCCACGGAATCGAGAAAGAGCGGTCAATCCTGCCCGTGTCCGGCCGGGTGAGGTTGAGTCAAATTAAGCCGCAGGCTCCACTCCTGGTGGTGCCCTTCCGTCAACTCCTTTAAGTTTCAGCTTTGCAACCATACTTCCCCCCCCAACCCAAAGACTTTGGTTTCCCGGAAGCTGCCCGGCGGGTCATGGGGATAACGCCGCCGCATCGTTTATGGCCGGAACTACGACAGCGTCTGATCGTCTTTGATTCTTGGTTAATGAAAGCATCCTTGGGGAATGTTTTCGCTCTGGTCCACCTTGCACTGGCCCAAGAATCCTAACCCCAACCCCCAACCCCAACCCGCCCATCGCAGGTGGGTGTGGTCATGGCCCTGCATGGCGAGGGGCATGGCCAGGCTCCTCCTTATGGTCCTGATTGATAGGTGCAGCCCAGCTGGACCGGGGGCGTGACCTCACGGATGGGCGTGGCCTGGACAATCCTGTCACTCAGCTGTAGGTCCTGACTCCTCACTGACTCCACCACAGGGGATAAAAACTCCTCAAACTCTTTATTCAAAAATACAAACGTGACGCAGCGTCAGCCACAAGCGCCGCTCTGCACACAGTAGGGCTACAGGTCACCCAGAGTCACGGCCACAGGAGGCCCACAAAAGGACCGCAGTCCTGGTGACCTCCGACCCCACGGCACATACTTGACCCTCTTGAGTCCGCGGGCGCACAGTAGGTCCACACCCGCCGTCACAGCAGCTCCAGGTCATCATCCGTGAAGTCAAACAGATCCACGGAGCCGAGCGACGGCTCGAACCTGTGGGCGGGGCCGGGGGAGGGCGGAGGCAGGGAAAGTAGGCGGTACTTAGTGACAGTGACGAGAGTGCAGTCAGCATCAGTAGGCAGGGCTGAGGGGTGTGGCTACAGGGAGTAGGCGTGGCCATGTAGAGAACAGCTGGGCTGGGTAGTGGGCGGGGCCGAGTCTCACGAGGTAGAGCCAAGCCCTGACTGACAGGTTAGCTTAGGCAGGACTGGGGTGTGAGGGGTGTGGCTTACGTAAAAAGGGCGGACCTGCAGGCGGTGGGCGGGGCTGAGCACTGACGGGATAGACTGACATGGGGTGAGGCTTCTGAAGGTCAATAGGTCACAGGGTCACGCCCTCCAAGACCCCGCCCCTCACCCGCCATCCCACGCGTCCACCGCCTCCTCGGCCACCAGGAAGTCATACTCCTCGGCCGCGTACTTGTCCCAGTCGGAGAGGGCGGGGTCGGCGTCCGCGTCCTAGGAGCAGGACCGGGAGACCCCGTGTGACCCTGTGATTCCACCCACCCCGCCCCCGCCGCGCCCCCGCCCCGCATCACCCACCCGCGCGGGCGCCGCCTGCTCCCGCTGCTCGCGCTCCAGGTACTTGTCCACGTTGAAGAACGTGTCGAAGAACACGCCCGCGAGCCGGCAGCGCTTCAGGTCCCGCAGCGTGATGCGGCCTGGGGGCGGGGTAAGCGTGTCACGCGGGGACGCACATGACCTAGGGTCACGTGTGATGTCACATGGGGTCAAACAGGGTCACGCGTAGTCAGGTGTGACATCATCCAGTGATCACACGGGGCCACACGTGATGTCGCACAGGTTCACTAGGGGTGACATGGTCGGGGTCATCTGGGGTCACGGGGTCAACCCCAGGGGTCAGAGATCACCAGCAGTGCCATGGCTCAGCGAAGGGTCTTGAGTTTCACAAGGGTCGGGTCACCGCAGGGGGCTGGGGTCGCCCTGAGCACCAGGGGTCGCTCACCTGGGCACCGAGGGGCCACGAGGTCGAGCACCTGGCGGGCGAGGTCGGGGAAGGGCAGCGGCTCCACCGCGCGTGCGAGCAGACGCCGCGCCTGCTCCTCGTAGAAGAACTCGAGCTCGAACATGGAGAGCGCGCCGTCGCCGTCCAGGTCCATGCAGCGGAACCAGTACTCGGCGCTGGGGTGGGGGCGGGGTCACGGGGCGGGGTCAGTAGGGTCATCAGCAGCGTGGCTTAGTCACCGGGGGCGTGGCCAGACACTGCATAATAATGTTGGACACCCAGGCCCCGCCCACCTGGTGGGCGTGGTCTTGTCCTCCTCCGACAGCAGGAACCACACGAAGTCAGCGTAGCCGATCTTCCCGCCCTTCGGCTTCCGGCCCCTGTGGGTGGGCGTGGCCGGGGCGGGGTCAGGGAGATGCCTGCAGGGACGTCACTCGGGCCCCACCCATCCCTCCGAGGTCATACCGGGTCACAGCACCCGAGAAGATCCGGTCGATCATCTTGGAGGAAATGGCTGCGGGGAGGCGGGGTGTCAGTGAGGCCACACCCTCGGGACACCAGGACACGCCCCCACCAGCTTTTCCTGTTTGATGACTGACGTCATGATTGTTAAATACAAAACCGGAGATTATTTTTAGGACCTGCCCATGTACTCAAGACTCTGCAAACACGCCCCCGGGAAACCGCAGACCACGCCCCCAGCCCCGCCCCTCAACCCAGGCCCCACCCTGCCGTCTCTTTTCTTCCTGCTTTTAACTGACTTTGTATTACTTGAAAACAAGACCGATTTTTGACCCCGCCCACGTGGCCACACCCAAGCCCCGCCCCCTCACCCCCGTCGGCGTGCCGCGCCAGGTCCCGCCTGTCAATCATCAGGTCATGGTCGCTGTCCAGCTCCCAGAACTTGCAGTAAATGACGTAGAAATGCTCGTAGGAGAAGAAGTCGGTCACACGGTTGATGTCGGGCTCCGCCTCGAGCCGCGACACGGCCTGGGGGTGGGGTCAGGATGAGGACACGCCCATCACGAGCCACGCACTGGGCCACGCCCACACAGAGGCTCCGCCCACCTGTAGAAAGCGGCTCCGCCGAAGCTCTTCGCACGTGATCCGGCCTGACCACGACCGGTTAACGGTGTAGAAGATGCGCTGGATGACCTGGGGGCGGGGCCTCGGGTTCAGGGGGTGAAACCGCGGGTCAGGGGGCGGGGTCACAGGTCAGTGCAAGTGAGAGAACTGCATAGGGAGTCAGGTGACAGGGATGGGCGTGACCTTGGGCGTGTCTGTGGGCGTGTCCCTGGCCGGGGTTGCATCCCCGACTAGGTGCGGTTGGTTCCGTGGGCGTGCCTGTGGGCATGGTCCCGCACGCGGGAGTGGCAATCAGTATGCACATGGTCCGACGGGAATGGGCGTGGCCTGGTATGGGCGTGGCCAAAACCAGGGAGTGGACATGGGTGTCGGCGTGTCCCGTGTGGGCGAGGCTGGGGGCGTGGCCACTCACCGTGGTGATGTAACGCGAGTGGAACTCAGATGCCTCCCTCAGGAATGACAGGCCGGGGTGAGAGTTCACCACATCCTGGAGAGAGTGGGGTCGGAAGGGGATGGGGCCAGAGACAGGGTGCAGCCAATCAGAGGCATGAACAACAGGGGCAGGATATGAGTGACAGCACAGGGGAGGGGCCTGCAAACAGGGGGCGTGTCCAGCCAGAGGGGGCGTGGTCAGAACACCCGTCTACCGAGAGCACACAGGGGACAGGATACAGAGCATGAAGCAGAGGGCGTGTGTGACTGACAGCCAAGGGGCGGGGCCTGCAGACGGGGCGTGTCCAGATTGCCAGACCCACCCACCTGCAGGAAGGGCACGAAGTCCTCCTGGGCGAGACCGTGGCTCCCAGGGCTGCCCAGCAGCTGCAGGAACTTGGAGGCATCATCATGACACGTCAGCAGCACCCTGGGGCAGGGCAATGGCGTCATCACCGTGGGACACGCCCCTCCGGAGCCCCGCCCACTGTCTACCCCCCTGACCTCCCTCCAGTGACGACACTGGAGTTCGCGCACTCACTTTCTCCACACAGCGATGAACGTGTGCACAGACACGGAACCTGTGCGCTCCCCGCCCGCGGCGTAGAACAGCGGGGCCTTCCAGTAGAGCGGGCAGCGGCAGGCCTGGGGGCGGGGCCAGAGGACAGGGGCGTGGCGGACGTGACAGGAAACACAAGAGAGCAGTCAGTCATGTGTTCACGCCAGGCCCCGCCCACTCACCGAGAACACGCCCACCTTTGCCACTGCGCCCATGTCGTCCAGCGCCGCCCTCTCCTGCGGAAACGCCGCGAACACGCGTTCCACATCCGCGATGACGTCGTCCACATCCCCAGGGCACGGCTGGGGGCGGCCACGCGGGAAGTAGAAGGCGGGGACGCTGCAGCTAGGGGGCGGGGCCGGCGGCGAAGACTCCTCCTCCTTCTCCTCCTCCCTGCGAGCCTGGACCTGTGGGCGGCGACATCAAAAAGTTGGGAGGTCAACAGCTGAGACCCCGCCCCTCCCGTCACTCTGACCCCGCAGCACCGGAGACCACGCCCCT